GGTCTCACAATCGATCTCACTCGATATATCTCATTCGCTCGGTCTCACAATTGATCTGATTATCGATCTCACAATCGATCTCACATTCGGTCCCACTATCGATCTCACTACCGATATCACATTCGATCTAATATTCAACGTCATCATCATCATCATCATCATCATCATCATCATCACCAACACCATCATTCAGGTACGGTCGATCACCAACACCATCATTTTCATCGTCATCGGGACACTGTCGTCATCATCATCGTCGTCATCATCATCCACGCCATCATCATCAGGCCATCATCATCATCCCCATCATCATCTCATCATAGTCATCATCATCATCATCGGCACACAGCCTTCGTCATCATCACCATCATCATCATCATCATCATCGGGACACCATCATGGTCACCATCAGTGTCATCGTCAACCTCATCAACAACATCGGGACACCATCATCATCATCATCATTTAATCATCATCATCATCATAATCAACAGCATCATTCACATCATCGGGACACCATCATCATCAGCAGCATCATCGTCACCAACCTCATCATCAATATCATCATCGGTACACCATCACCATCACCATCATCATCACCACCGTCATAATCATCATCATCGGGACACCATAATCATCATCAGTCAGCAGCATCATCATTACCAACATCATCATCAACAACAATGGGCAGAAACATCAACATCATCGTCATCCCATCATCATCAACAACATCATCAACATCACCAGCGGGACACAGCCATCGTCATCATCACCATCAGCATCATCATCATCATCGGGACACCATCATGGTCACCATCGTTGTCATCGTCCACATCATCAACAAGATCGAGACACCATCATCATCATCAGCTCATTGTCATCATCATCAGCATCATCAACATCATCGGGACACCATCATCATCAGCAGCATCATCATCACCAACATCATCATCAATATCATCATCGGTACACCATCACCATCACCATCATCATCACCACCGACATAATCATCATCATCTGGATACCATAATCATCATCAGCAGCATCAGCATTACCAACATCATCATCAACAACAACGGGCAGAACATCAACATCATCGTCATCTCATCATCATCATCATCAGCATCATCATCATCATCACCAGGACACCATCATCGTCATCATCATCACCATCAACACAACCATCATGATCATCATCAACATCATCATTATCGGGACACCGACGGGGCACCGACGGGACACCGGCGGGACACCGCGGGCCCCCGGCCGCCCGGAAGGGAGTCATTTGGTCTGGCCGCGCCTCAGCCACACGGGACACCAGCGGACACCGGCCGGACACCGCAGGCCCCCGGCCGCCCGGAAGGGAGACATTTGGTCTGGCCGCGCCTCAGCCACAGGAGACTTTCTCTCGCCCGCCCACGCAGCTTCGCCTCGCCCGCACGGCACGCACGAACACGAAACCGAAATCGATTTTCCGGTAGGGGGGCTCTCCGTTCCACTTCGATCTCACCCCCCAACCTCCGACTCACGTATTAAACATCCTATCTATTGTTTAAAATCCCATGGATTAAAAGCTGCCCTGTAAATCATTCCTCTGGGGGCGTAGCGCGCCCCAGGCACGCCTTCCACCGCCCCAGAGCCCGAGCCCCCTCGCCGGCGGAAGCCGGGGGACACATCCAAGGGCCTCGGACAACTGTGGCTTCGGACTCCCCCCCCCTCCCCTCCTCCTCCTCCTCCTCCTCCTCCTCCTCCTCCTCCTCCTCCTCCTCCTCCTCCTCCTCCTCCTCTCCGTCCTCCTCCTCCCCTCCCTCGCCCTCCTCCTCCTCCTCCTCCTCTCCTCCTCCTCCTCCTCCTCCTCCCTCCTCCTCTTCGGTCTTCGTCCCCTCTTCCTCCTCCTCCTTCCTCCTCCTCCTCCTCCTCCTCCTCCTCCTCCTCTCAGTCCTCCTCTTCCTCCTCCTCCTCGTACTCCTCTTCTCCTCGTCTCCTCCTCCTCCTTCTCCTCCTCCTCCTCCTCTCCCTCCTCCTCATCCTCCTCCTCCTCCTCGTCCTCCACCATCTCCCCCCCCCACGCACCAGTGTTTTGTCCACGCCTCCCCTTTCCCCCCCCCCCCCCGCGCTCGTTCCGAAGCGTTTTTTTTCCCAACCATCCTGTGGTGTTGGGTCCTCGTTTTGAAGAGACGGTCCCCGCGTCCTCCTCTCCTCTCTTCTCCTCTCCTCCTCCTCCCCCTCCTCCTCCCTCCTCCCCCTCTTCCCTGCGTTTCATTACAGCGTTTCGTAGCCCCATAGGGAGCTCCGCCGAAGGCCCCAGTGCTGCCGCCCGCATGCGTCACGCACGCCCAATTCGGCACACCCCTCACACGTTTCGTGGCCCTAATAGGGAGCTCCACCGAAGGCCCCAGCGCTGCCGCCCGCATGCGTCACGCACACCCGATTCAGCACACCCCTCACACGTTTCGTGGCCCCATAGGGAGCTCCGCCGAAGGCCCCAACGCTGCCGCCCGCATGCGTCACGCACACCCAATTCGGCACACCCCTCACACGTTTCGTGGCCCCATAGGGAGTTCCACCGAAGGCCCCAGCGCTGCCGCCCGCATGCGTCACGCACACCCAATTCGGCACACCCCTCACACGTTTCGTGGCCCCATAGGGAGCTCCACCGGGCCCCAGGGTGGCTCACAGCCTCCAAGGCCCCAGTGCTGCCGCCCGCATGCGTCGGCACACCCCTCACACGTTTCGTGGCTCCATAGGGAGCTCCACCGAAGGCCCCAGTGCTGCCGCCCGCATGCGTCACGCACACCCAATTCGGCACACCCCTCACACGTTTCGTGGCCCCATAGGGAGCTCCGCCGAAGGCCCCAGCGCTGCCGCCCGCATGCGTCACGCACACCCAATTCGGCACACCCCTCACACGTTTCGTGGCCCCATAGGGGGCTCCGCCGAAGGCCCCAGTGCTGCCGCCCGCATGCGTCACGCACACCCAATTCGGCACACCCCTCACACGTTTCGTGGCCCCATAGGGAGCTCCGCCGAAGGCCCCAGTGCTGCCGCCCGCATGCGTTTCACGCACCCATAGGGAGCTTGCGTCCCGATTCGGCACACCCCTCACACGTTTCGTGGCCCCATAGGGAGCCCCACCGAAGGCCCCAGTGCTGCCGCCCGCATGCGTCCCGCACACCCAATTCGGCACACCCCTCACACGTTTCGTGGCCCCATAGGGAGCTCCACCGAAGGCCCCAGTGCTGCCGCCCGCATGCGTCACGCACACCCAATTCGGCACACCCCTCACACGTTTCGTGGCCCCATAGGGAGCTCCACCGAAGGCCCCAGCGCTGCCGCCCGCATGCGTCACGCACACCCCATTCGGCACACGCCTCACTCGTTTCGTGGCCCCATAGGGAGCTCCACCGAAGGCCCCAGTGCTGCCGCCCGCATGCGTCAATCACACCCAACAAATTCGGCACACCCCTCACACGCTTCGTGGCCCCATAGGGAGCTCCACCGAAGGCCCCAGCGGCCGCACTCATATGCGTCCCCGCCACCCATCCCGGCACGCCCCTCGCAACAACAAGTTTCGTGGCCCCATAGGGAGCTGCACCGAAGGCCCCAGTGGCACCGCCCGAATGCGTCACCACCCGCACCCAAGTCGGCACACCTCTCACACGTTTGGTGGCCCCATAGGGAGCTGCACCGAAGGCCCCAGTGGCGCCGCTCACATGCGTCCCCGCCACACATCCCAGTACACCCCTCACGCGCTTCGTGGCTCCATAGGGAGCTCCACCGAAGGCCCCAGTAGCGGCGCTTACATGCGTCTCGGCCACCCATCCCGGCACTCCTCCCGCAGCATCATGTTTCGGGGACCCATAGGGCTCCACTGGAGGCCCCAGTGGCAGCCCTCACATGCGTTTCCGCCACCCATGTCGGCACGCCCCGCGCGTGTTTCATGTCCCCATTGGGAGCTTTACCGAATGCCCCGGTGGCACCCATCTCGGCACACCCCTCACACGTTCCGTGGTCCTGTGGGGAGTTCCACTGAAGATGAAACCCGCAGCTGCGGTACTGACAACTGCATATGGTTGGGTTCTTCGCCAGGCTAATTTTGTGCAGCCCCCGCCTGAAAAATCAACGTCGGGGAGTTCGGCAGGCGGTGGAGGTGGATTTTTTGGGGGGCCGCGTGGGAGGGGGCGGTATATCCACATCCACCGCCTGTTGGGGTCCCACAAAAGCTGTTACCCAGGATGGAATTCTGGGAGTGTTGAATTCAACATCTGCGCTAGTATGTATCCGTGGTCTAACGGCGGCCTACTGTAGCATAGTCCCGCTTAGTCTTGCCCGGTCCAGCTTCGTTGGGCTCGCTCCGCCGCAGGATTTGGCCTGATCTGCTTGTTAACAGCCACGTAAGATCGGGCCGGATAGCCCTCGGCCGTCCTCACGAAGACCTCGCCGGGGTTGCTTGCTAACCCACGCGCGCGGCAATGGCGATGACCCGCGACGCGCGTTGGGATATCCGAGTCTAGGCTGTCCTTGTTGTGTGCCATGGCGCACACCCGCCTCCAGCCAGTGGCATTGATTCAGCTCAGGAAGACCGAAGCGGCCACGAAGAGCGACGGCACATCCTGCCCATTCAGCAGAAGTCGAGTTCGGTGTGGCCGCGGGCGGCGCCCACAGCGGCCACTGTCGTATTCGGGCGCGTGTGCTGTTGGGCATCGTGACAAGCTGTTTCCCATATCCATTGCAGGTTTGCCGGTTCGCCGATACCTCGTGCAGACACCCTGCTTTGGGTTCGAAGGGCAGACGACGGCAGAAACATAATGTCCCGGAGGTCCGCGCGGATGTTTTTGACTGTTGCTGCGCCCCCTGGGTGTTGCCTCCTGCGCCGCCCCTGGCGCGCTCATCGCCGATCAAGAACCTTGCGTGGGCCTTCGGGGCATTCGCCGTGTGTTGGTCTTCTGTTGCTTTGTCGCGCGCTCGCGGCGACGGCGACGGCCCCGCGGCCGGGGCAGGAACTGCACCCTGCTGGAGGCCGACCCGACCCCGGCGCCCGCGGCACCCGACCCCGTGGCGACCCTGCTCTCCGAGGGCGCCGCCGCGCTGGTCCATCGAGGCCTGGGCCGATGACTGCGGCTGTCTCCCCTCCTGCCTTTCCTTCGGGGGTGGACAGACCTCCTACCCTGCCACGTCGATTAGCGAATTGGCCGTTTTCGGTTCGCGAGAGGGCGTCGCGGCCGTCATTTTTGCGGGTCCAGGTCCGTCGGTTTCGGTCCCAGGCCGTTTTCATTAAAGGGAGGTTTACTAAAGGGAGGTTTGACCACCGCCGATTCCTTGTCATGATTCTCGAGCACTTCGATGGTAAATCAAGAAATCTTCCGCTCGTCTTGGACGGGATGTGTAGGTTCGCAAGCATCCAGTCAGAGCGCCCAAGGGGCCCAGTAGCGTCCAGAGTCCACGAATGGCGTTCAAGTAGCGCCACATAGCGCCCACAAGCGCCAAGTGAGAGAGATGTATTCTGTCCGCTTGGCAACCGATTGGGCGCGCAATTGAGCGCCATGGGGAGCTTCCATGAGTTGCTTTCGAAGAATCTCGGACCGCGACTCGATCCTCCATGAGCCAGTTCTCGACTCACCTGGCGATGCGATGGCGGGCGTGACCGGGGGGAGGGGGGGAGGGGCCTGGTCACGTCACGATTCGCGCCAGCGCCGTCCGGGAGTGGCAGCTGATGGCTGATCTCCAGACGGCGCCAGCGCAGATCGTGGGGAGGGGGGGTGGAGGGGAGGGGGGAGGGGAGGGGAGGCAAGCTAGTTGCGCTCGCGTCATATCTGACGTCCTACCCCTCCCTCCCATTTCTTACCATGGCGCTGATTTTCTCTATCCGCGGACGCGTGTCGTAGCGGACCTGTGGCTCCGCGCGCGCGTGCGTAGTGGGTGGTGGTGCGCGTGCGTGCGTGCGTGCGTGTGTGCGTGGTGTGTGGTGTGCTGGTGCTGGTGCTGGTGCTGGTGTGCTGGTGCTGGTGCTGGGCTGGTGCTGGTGCTGTGCTGGTGGTGCTGGTGGTGGTGGTGGTGGTGGTGGTGGTGGTGGTGGTGGTGGTGGTGGTGGTGGTGGTGCGGCGCGGTGGTGGCGGGCGGATGGGCGCGCGAGAAAGAGGCCCGCGCTGGGGCGAGAACGCCATCCTGAACGACGGAGGCCAAACACCGATCCGAAAATGAGGCCCACGCTGCAGCGGGAGCACGATTCGGAACGATTCGGGAGCAGAAATGAGGCCGGCGCCTCAGCGAGAGCAGCATTTTGAAAAAAAAAACGCAGGCGAAAACCCGTTTCCCGGGAATCTGTGTGTAAAAAACAGTACGCGGGGGGGGGTCGGATATCTTCGGGACGCCATCAGGGGAAGTGGGAGAGTATTTTCATATTGTGTAATTGTGGAACGGGGGAGGGAGGGGGTGGGAGGGAGGGGGGGGGGAGGGGGAGGGGGGGGAGGGGAGGAGGGCACGGGGCCGGTTCCGGGCGTCATTGCTCGCCGAGCGCGTTCTTTTACTCGCAAAGTGCCCACTCGCGAATGCCCGAAGAACATATGTTCGCTTGGATATAACTTACCTTAGATCCCCCGCGCCGGTTCCAGGCCATTTGCGAGTAGTGACCTTGCGAGTAGCGGAACGCGCTTGCCTCATTGCGAATCATGCAGCAACAACAACAATGGGCTCGAGTCTCGACCCTCGAGCCTCGTTCCTGGGGGCTCCCAGGCGCGGCGGGGAGGGATCGCGCCCGCCAAGGCGGTTCCGAGGTGCACGGCGTGGAGCCCTTCCTGCTCAAGTCGGTGGTCTGACGGCGCCCCCTTGGCGCGCTCCGGGGAGCGGTGCGGGGCTGTCTCTTGGGGTCGCGGCTCCTCCCTAGTTTCGGATGCAACTCCTGGGAGGTCAAGTTCTGATTTTACCCTGGCTCGAAATCCGGCTCAATCCCGCTTCATCCCGCTTAATCCGGCTTAGTCCCGCCTAATCCGAGGCCCACTCCGGCGTAACAGCTCCCAAATTGGGCTTAATCCTCCTTGATCTTTCCGACGAAAGCCTCCCAGTAGTTGCTTCCTAGGGGTGGATATCATGGCGGGGGTCGTGAGATCTCCCCGGATTTCATGGCGCCTCTTCTTATTTCAATACGCCCCTGGCTTCCCCCTGGAGCGCGCACATGCCGCGGGCCATGATTAGCACACACCCCTCTTGGACGCCCCCCTCTTGGCCGCCCCCGACCTAGAGTCAGAGGAGGCCGACCTTGGTGCGCCTGGACCCCGAGGAGGGGCCCAGAGCCCACTTGTGTGGTGCTGCTGCCTCAACTCGCCCTGCTCAGCCACGCGCAGAGGGGGGTGGGGGGAGACGGTAGGCCTTCTTAGAAGCACCCCTGCTTCTTGAAAGGCGCGGGCCTTGTCTTTAGATGTGAGGCCCGCGCCTTCTAAGAAGCAGCCTCCTTCTAAGAAGCTTTCCCCCTCCCTCCACCCCCTTGTGCGCGCCGCCAACCTGCCTTGACAGTGACAGAGAGATTCCTGTGTCCGTGCTGCGCTGAGCACGGCTCACGCCGCAGCTGCAGGCCAGACGCGACCGGGCAAAGCAATGCGCGCCGCAAAGGCGCCGCGGTCTTTGCGGGCCGGGGTCGTGTTTCGAAGAAGAAAAACGCCACAAACATACAGTCAAAAACCCTAATAAGGACGCGCGACTTTACTCAGGGTACCCTTGCGTCCTTGCTTCTCCTTGCTCTTGCGTCCTTGGGGTTTTCGTCGTCCGCCGCTCCAAAAATCCCAACTTCGGCTTCCAATGGTCTTGCGTCCTTACCGCGCGTCCTTATTAGGGTTTTTGACTGTAAACTATTGGCGCTCCGCACGGGTTCCTGGGATTCGCGCCTGCCCCCCCCCCCCTAGGTCCAGCGCAGATCCAAGAAGTCCGCGCGGAGCGCCGACAGTTTCTGTCTGTGGCCTTTTTTGTTGCTGCTTCTCCTTCTTCTCCTTCTTCTTCCTCTTCTAATGTTGTTCTTCAGGCAACACGAGTGAGAGGCAGGACTTGATAGGGTTGGGGGATCTTTTTCGCACCGCCGATGCACCGGCGATGCGGCGCCACCAGGGGCCTGGCCGTCGCCACCCCAGCGTCGCAGGTGCATCACGGGTGCATCGGCGACGCGGCGCGATCCTCGCGGGTTCCTTAGGTCGGCGCCGGGCGCCCCCTGCGGCGCATCCAGCGCCACCCTTGGGGAGCGCCGTGTGTGCCAGCGGGGTGGTATCAGCGCCGATCCAAGAAATTCGCATGGCCCTCTGAAAGTTTGTGCTTACGCAAGAATTATTTCCTGTCCAGCTAGTCTGCATGGGTTCAGTATAGTTCAGGAGGATATCCCCAGAAAATATGGGAAGATATGGGACAAACCCTGAACATATTGGAAAATATGGGGAATCCTGTTATTTGTATCTATTTATTTGTGTGTCGCAGGGCCCCTTCAATAGTACCTCTCCGAAAGCAGGTGGTGCGTTGCCGCATCCACTTTCGTCTCCCATTAAAGGTCCCTATCTGTATCCCTATTCCAATCCCTATCCTCGTCCCTCTATCACCATCTATCTCCCCTTTGTCCCTGTCCTGTATCTTTCTCCCTATCCCTTGTGTTCTTATCATACATCCCGATCCCTATCCCCATGTCCTTATCCCAAGGTCTTTAGCTGCATGTTCTTACCCCATGTCCCGATCCCGATAACCCCCATCGTGGCCCCCCATTGTGACCTCCATCGTGGCCCCATCGTAATTGCGTGAATATGTTTAGGGTTTTCGCCACAACGGTGTCACGTTTCTTCTAATCTGCTCTGGCTCCATCTGGGCGGTCTCCGCGTACGCTGGAGACAATCGACGCAAGAGATCGGGGTCGACCTGGTGGGATTGGACGTATGCCGTCAGGTAAGATCGCCAGGACGTCGTTCGCCAGGCACCCTTCGGGAGGAACAAGGAATGGCATGAACATAAACTTTCGGATGTCGTTGCTTTTCTCTTGAATCGCCAATCGCAGCAACGTTGCCTTCCCGCTCGAAAGCAGCGTCTTCGGCTCCCGATTGCCAGCTCGGCGCCCGCGGTGCAGGAAAGGGGGGGACACCTCGCCGATTGAAACGAAGCTGCGCGGATTTCTCTGAGAGTTTCCGTCTGCGCGTGCCTCTGCCCGCCTGCGCCCCCCCCCCCTCCTCCACTCTGCGCGCGACTGCCCTCGTCTTCGCCTTTCTCTCTTTCACGCAAGACCATACGCCTATCGGTTGCCACGATTGGTCTGGACGCCCGAAATGGGTACGGAAAGAATGGGTACGATGCCCAACAGCAGTTCCTGTTCATTTTGAACAGGACTCGCTGTCCGCGCCGCCGCGGCCTGTGTCCATTTGAGACAGAAGGCCGCCCGCCCAACAGCGGCCGCTGTTGGTTTGGGACAGCATTTGTTGTTGGGCGTTGTACCCATTTATTCAGTTTCCGTACCCACTTCGGGCGTCCAAAATTGGCCCCACGCTGGTGCGGATTGCCTCCGCGTCGCCGCCGGAGACAGAGCGTCCCAGAACGTCCTCAGAGCGTTCTCGACGGTCTGAGAAGGCCGCGGCGCCCGAGACATCCTCCAGAGCCGCCGGGTCTCAGAGAGTCTCAATTTTATCCTCGCCCAAGTTTATCCTCGTCCTGGCGTCGTCTTCTTCGTCGTTCGTTCGGACCCTCGACTTGTGATGTTCCAACTTACTTTAGCATTGATCACCAGAGAGAATTTCGAACACCAAGAAAATACCGAAACTGTCGGGTTTGCGCATGTCGGGCAGGCCCTGGGAGGCGATACTCGTGCGACACTGCTTCGAAACTGTTCTGGGTGCTGGGAATTATCTCTGGGAAGTGGTCCTTGAGTACGACTGGAGCAACATAACCCTTGACTCGAACCTCGCATCGTCCACCCCTCGGCTCTCGGACCTCCGTCGGGCTCCACGCCGCCGTCTGGCGCCAGCGTGCCGCGCGCGGCGGCCTGCGAGGAGAGGCCGCCGCGTCGCCCTGGGCGCTGACCTTATGTCGGGCATGTCCTCCTTCGGGCGGATTATAGACGAAAAAGAAGGATTTGTTTACCAATAGTTAAAGCAGTCCATCAATAGTCGAAAATTCGTCCCCTGACTAGAATGTTCCTCCTGTAGACGGACACGCCAAATTCTTGACGCTGACCACCCCCGCCTCTCCCGGGAGGAGACATCGGAGGCGAGGATGGGGGCGAATAGCCCAGGGGCGCCGCCGACAGTCCATGCCTTCGGCGACGCTCGCTGGCGACTACGTGGCATTGCCGCCCCTGGGCTATTCGCCGCCATCGTCGCCTCCGAAAAAAACACACGCAGACACACACACAATCAAGATCTCCAGGACAGTATTGAAAATATGGGAATTGGAGGGCAATACGAGAATCCCAAACACATAAAAATGAGCCTGGCGAAGGGCCTAACCAATTGCAGCTGTGAGTATCGCAGTCGTGGATATCGTGTTCGGTGGAGCTCCTGGTGGGGCCACGAAACATGAGATGGGGTGTGCCAAAGTGGGAGGGCGGCGGCACACGGGCGCTGCCACTGGGGCCTTCGGTGGAGCTCCCTCTGGGGCCACGAATCGTTCGAGGGGTACGTCAGAATGTGGCGGCACCGCCACGCGGACCCTGCCGCTGCGGCCTTCGGTGGTGCCGCCTCAGGCCACGAAACGTGCGAGGGGTGCGCCCAAATGTGGCATAGAACCGCATGCGGGCGCTGCCACTGGGGCTTCAGGTGGAGCACCCGACGGGGCCACGACACGTGCGAGGGGTGCGCCAGAATGTGGGATGGAACCGCATGCGGGCGCTGCCACTGGAGCCTCAAGTGGAGCACCCTACTTGGCCACGAAACGTTCGAGGGGTGCGCCAGAATGTGGGATGGAACCGCATGCGGGCGCTGCCTCTGGGGCCTCAGGTGGAGCACCCGACGGGGCAACGAAACGTGTGCGGGGTTCGCCGGATTGGAGGGTGCAACCGCATGCGGGCGCTGCCATCGGAGCCTACGGGTGCCGGAAATGAAAGGTGAAACCGCATGCGGGCGCTGCCACTGGAGCCTCAAGTGGAGCTCCCTGTAGGGCCACGAAACGTTTGAGCGGCGCTCCGACAGTGGAAGGTGAAACCGCATGCGGGCGCTGCCGCTGGAGCCTTCGGTGGAGCTCCCACGGGCCCACGACGCGTGTGAGGGTTGACCGAAATGAGGGTGGAACCGCACGCGGGCGCTGCCACTGGGGCCTTCGGTGGAGCTCCCTGTGGAACCACGAAGCGTGTGAGAGCTTCGCCGAACTGTTGGGATGTAACCGCATGCGGGCGCTGCCACTGGGCCCTCAGGTGGAGCTTCCCTACGGGGCCACGAAGCGTGTGAGGATTGACCGACATAATGGTTGAAACCGCATGCGGGCGCTGCCACTGGGGCCTTCGGTGTAGCTCCCTATGGGACCACGAAACGATTGTCGCCGAAATGGAGGGACGATCCATCTGTGGGCGCTGCCACTGTGGCCGTCGGTGGAGCTCGCAAGGGGCCCACGGAACCTGTAAGGTGTGCACTGACAGGGGTGAAACCGCATGCGGGCGTTGCCACTCGGGCCTTCGGTGGAGCTTCCCATTAGGCCACGAAACGAACGATGGGGTCGCCGAAATGGTCGGTGGAACCGCATGCGGGCGCTGCCACTGGGGCCTTCGGTGGATCCCTCTATGAAGCCAGGAAGATTGTGTGGTTGCACCGGAATAGGTGGCGACGATGATGACGATGATGATGGTGATGGTGATGGTGATGGTGATGGTGAT